ATGGACCCAGAAGTATTCTTGTCTGAGTCCGATCATTTTATTGTGTCCCTAAAGACACGTTCATCGTTTTCATTGCTTCCAGTCAACGTCAATATGTCTTTTAACTCTTTTCATAAATTGGCTGAGGCTCGATCTGTGTATGTAACTCACAATCACATAATTGCCCCCAGGTACGTGCTGATTTATATCATGGTCATTTTTTCAGACAGTTTAAATACTAAGATGATAGGAGGTGTGAAAATGAATGGATAAAAATGTAAAATGGGATAATAGTTTGTCTTATTTCCAAAATAGCAGCTTCTTCTGTAATTAATGCAACTTTCGAGTGTTTCCGAACACGCCCGAAGCAGTCTTAAACATTCCCGCTTTTGATAACTTAATACAATGCGATGAAACGCGTCTTGATGTTCTTCTTCTGCCCGAAGTTACATTGCGTTATATATGTCGAGGAGGCACGGTGGAGTAATAGACAGCGGCTCGGACTGATGAATCGGAGAGCCGAGTTCGAAATCCAGTTGAATCAATTGCATTCACTTGCGTGCTAATACCTTTGGGAAAGATATGAATCATCTTCTTCTTCTTACGTTTATGGGTAAATAGCAGGACAGACCAGGTTCTATAGGTGGTCTACCGCAGAAATAAATGGCAAGCTACTGCGGGAAGAAATCTGCCTCGTCAGTCATGTATCGAAATAAACATGATCGGCCAATCGTGTATCACGCATAGCACTGACTCACCCTTGGGAAAGTATGCATCCACTTCTTCTCCCCCCCAGTATATGGGTAAATAGCATGACAGGCCGGGTTCTATATCCTTGGATGGCAACTGGTCTACCGCAGAAATAAATGGCAACCTGCTGCGGGAAATATCTGCATAGTCAGTCATGTATCGGTTTCCTCTATTTCCTCATATTTTTCAGCAGGACCTCACTTGGATACCCCCCACCATCCTAGATTAACCCTGACTTTTTTTCTCAAGACATATCGTTACACGATACATATCTGTGTGATGTGTTCAGTCAGAACGTGGCTGATTATGGCTCCCCACCATTTCCTATCCATTTTACTCTTCCTATCTGACTTAATCCCTCTCTTGAAAAAGATTTACGGAAGCTCGTTAGTTAGGAGTTTACCTGTGTCTTACTTGTCTTCAATATCCCCTGTGAGTGTCAAATCTTATAAGGCTTAAATGTAAATGGTTCAGCCAATCTTATCCGGGAATGCCAGTTTACTAGGGCAACTAGCTAATCCCTATTGTAGACGCATGTTCAGGCAAATTTCTTCAACACCCACAGAGCCTACCTGTGGTTTATATTTCAACTATGCGGTGCGGACGCTAAGTACATTTTCTAGGGGAGTTATTTAGCGTGATGAACGCTCAAACCCTCTGTCACGATGACTTGTGACTTCATGCTTGCACAGCCATCGTCGGCTCCTAACGGTTCTATCTACCCAATTTCACGAAACAGTGGTATGGTTTTTAGGACACTTTCCAAAGGTGCAGCACGGTGGGGTCACCTCCTCCAGACCGATAACATCAAGTCACCTTCGTAACAAATCAACCATGGAGAGATTCGACCCCGGGTCGGAAAGCGAATGTTGTACCTACTCGCTCACGTGCCCATTGCTAAACAAACCCTATTTATCTGCCAAGGGAATTTAAACTTTCTCTTTGTCTAAATATATGTCTTTTTTGTTTCCATTTTCTTTAAAACTTCCTCGTTATTCGCATGTTCTCTCTATGCGATTCTCAGCGTCCTTCTGTAGAACCCCACTTCTGTTTCTCCAAGTCTCTTCTTCATCTGTGAGGAAATTGCCCAACACTCACTGCCATATAGGGGAATTTAACATTTAATTTCCGAATTTTCTAGATTCTTAATACTTTACTTTGCTTTCGTAAAGCATATTTCTTTATCCCAAAGGTCCTTTCGATGTCGTATGTACCATCCACTGTTAAAACCTAGCTATAAAAAAATGTAAGTTGATAAAAGAGTCTAGGCATTTATGTGGAGTTGTAGCGTAATTATAATGTAATTAATTGGAGTCAGAGTAACGGACCTTTTTTTTTACATAGTTCATAAAGTAGCATAATTTCAGTGTATGATCAAGTAAGCGTCTTTGTTTATTTTTGTACTGTATATAACTTTTTAGTCAGTTGTCCTGTATGCATTAGTTGCATGTGCATTTTTAAAAAGCCAGGTTAATATTCAAAAGATATTAAAAGGGAAGTCTTAATGACGACTGGAGAATTGACCGATTGAAAGCCTGCCTTTGAAATAAAATAAAGAAAGAATTGGTCCACTGATTCGATAAATACCGCTTCATGTATTCTCTAATCTATGGTATATATATAAATATCTATCTATCTATCTATCTATCTATCTATATATATATATATATATATATATATATATATCTGTCTATATTTCTCAGATGAGGAATTGTAACTATGTACCTTATATACATCGTTCGGATGGTTGTCCTCAACTTTGTTGCCATATTCACGACATTTCAGCCATTGTATGCTCTGCACTTTTCAGGATCTGGCGATATTTTTGAGATGATGTATTGTAACTATTTACGCTATTTACATCGTTCAGACTGTTCTCAACTTTGTTGCCATATTAACGACGATTCAGTCGTTGTACGCTCTGGCCTTCTTCAGGATCTGTCTATATTTTTGAGATGAGGTATTGTAACCTATTTATACTATTTACATCGTTGAGACTGTTGTCCTGCATTTTGTTGCCATACTTACAACATTTCGGCCGTTGTACACTCCGGCTTTCTTCAGGAACTGTCTATATTTCTGAGATGAGTTATTGTAACTATGCCCCCTATATACATCGTCCGGATTGTTGTTTTCAACTGTGTTGCCATATTCACGATATTTCGGCCATTGTATGTTCCGCCCGTCTTCAGAATCTGTCGATATTTCTGAGATGGAGTATTGTAACTATTTAGATAATTTGCATCGTTTGAACCATTGTCCTCATCTTTATTAACATATTACCGTCGTTTCGGTCAGTAGATGAAAGCGTTGGTTGAACTAATTCAAAAATGGCTTCACCAAACAGTTTGGTTTGGTTTATTTGATGGTATATCAACTTCTTATGAACATTACATGCCAAAATTTAATTTCCTTGGTAATATTATGTTTACGATTAAAATCTATTATCGGGAATATTTACTATAAAAAAGTAGTTCACTATTTTTCCATAGCTGGGACCCTAACAAGTGCTACCACCCCGACCCAAAGTGTTGTGTGTTCAATAGCTGAGCACAGCAGAGAGAGAAAATCTTGGAAAGTTGAGTTACTAAAGGAAATTAACTTAAACTGAAATACTCAAAAAAGGCATGGCACGTGGAACTAGAACAATCTACACCGTGTATTAAAGAAACGATTCGGTTCGTAATTCCAACGTATATCACCTGAAGAAGGTCGGTGCGTACAATGATAAATAATGTCAATAAAAAAAAAAAAAATTGTCCGAACATACATGCAAGCCAGTTGTAACTATTTTTGTTCACATTGCATGTCTCATGAATGTATCTGTGTACCAAGTGGTTTATTTCATATTTGATAGTCGTATTATAAGCTGTTTCCTTTAGCAGATTAAGTTAGTTCATATTCGCCTCCAATGGGCAAAGAGTGCACGGAAGTTGCGCTTAAAATCTTTTCCGTTGTGAATAGTTACAGGAGTGATTAGAGTTTGCCATTTTCAGTGGAACAGACCTGCGTTTATCTCAGAGGGGAATAGAAGATTTATCTTGCTTTTTTTTCTTTTAATTTTCTGTTCTCAAACATCTCTTTCGCTTTCTCGTTTTCCTTTTCTTTTCTTTTTTCGTCTTTCAAAAAAACAAACACTTTCCCTTCCTTGTATCCTTCTTTAGTTCATTCTATGTTTGAACAATCTTTCGTTCTTTCTTATATATAATGTTCTTTCTTTTAAAAATGTTTCCTATTTTCACGCCTATTTCTTCTTCGCTTTCACAATATTTCTTTCTTTCATTTCCACGATTCTTTTCTTTGATGTTTGTTACTTTATACCCTTAATTTATTTTTCCGTTTCTTTCTTTCTTTCTTTCTTATACGTGTGTCCCTCTTAAAAATATTACCGTTTTTTCGTACGTCTGGTTTTCTTCAGTTTAACAATATTTCTTTCGTTCCTTTCCAATATTCCTTTTCTTTCTTTCTTTCTTTCTTTCTTTCTTTCTATTTTCCTTTCTTGTTCTCTATTTTTCCTTAATTTTCTTTCTTTCTTTTTCTTTCTCTCTCTTTTTCTTTCTGGTTCTCTATTTTTCCTTAATTTTCTTTCTTTCTTTCTTTCTTTCTTTCTTTCTTTCTTTCTTTCTTTCTTTCTTATATATGCGTGCCTTTTAAGAATATAACAGTTTTTTATTACGTCTGGTTTTCTTCAGTTTAACAATTTATTTATTTATATTTTCTTTTTCTTTCTTTCTTTTTCTCTGTTTTTCTTTCTTTTTATTTATTTCTTTATTTTTCTTTATTTCTTTCTTTCCTTCTTTCTTATACGTGTGTGTCTTTTAAAAATATTACCGTTTTTTTCGTACGTCTGGTTTTCTAGTTTAACAATATTTCTTTCTTTCGTTCCCAGCATTCCTTTTTTTCTTTCTTTCTTTCTTTCTTTCTTTCTTTCTTTCTTTCTTTCTTTCTTTCTTTCTTTCTTTCCCAGCATTCCTTTTCTTTCTTTCTTTCTTTCTTTCTTTCTTTCTTTCTTTCTTTCTTTCCCAGCATTCCTTTTCTTTCTTTCTTTCTTTCTTTCTTTCTTTCTTTCTTTCTTTCTTTCTTTCTTTCTTATATATGCGTGCCTTTTAAAAATATAACAGTTTTTTATTACGTCTGGTTTTCTTCAGTTTAACAATTTATTTATTTATATTTTCTTTTTCTTTCTTTCTTTTTCTCTATTTTTCTTTCTTTTTATTTATTTCTTTATTTTTCTTTATTTTTCTTTCTTTCTTTCCTTCCTTCTTTCTTTCCTTCTTTCTTATACGTGTGTGTCTTTTAAAAATATTACCGTTTTTTTCGTACGTCTGGTTTTCTAGTTTAACAATATTTCTTTTTTTCGTTTCCCAGCATTTTTTTTTTCTTTCTTTCTTTCTTTCTTTCTTTCTTTCTTTCTTTTCTTTCGTTCCTTTCATTCCTTTTCTTTTCTTTCTTTCTTTCTTTCTTTTCTTTCTTTTTTTCTTTCTTTCTTTCTTTCTTTCTTTCCCAGCATTCCTTTTCTTTCTTTCTTTTCTTTCTTTCTTTCTTTCTTTCTTTTTTTCTTATATATGCGTGCCTTTAAAAAATATAACAGTTTTTTTTATTACGTCTGGTTTTCTTCAGTTTAACAATTTATTTATTTATATTTTTTTTTTCTTTCTTTCTTTTCTCTGTTTTTCTTTCTTTTTATTTATTTCTTTTTTTTTTTTCTTTCTTTCTTTCTTTCCTTCTTTCTTATACGTGTGTGTCTTTTAAAAATATTACCGTTTTTTTCGTACGTCTGGTTTTCTTGTTTAACAATATTTCTTTCTTTCGTTCCCAGCATTCCTTTTTCTTTCTTTCTTTCTTTCTTTCTTTCTTTCTTTCTTTCTTTCGTTCCCAGCATTCCTTTTCTTTCTTTCTTTCTTTCTTTCTTTCTTTCTTTCTTTCTTTCTTTCTTTCTTTCTTTCCCAGCATTCCTTTTCTTTCTTTCTTTCTTTCTTTCTTTCTTTCTTTCTTTCTTTCTTTCTTTCTTTCGTTCCCAGCTTTCCTTTTCTTTGTTTGCTTGTTTGCTTCTTTCAGCATTTAATGTATTCTTTCTTTCCTTCTTTATTTTCCTAGTTTCTTTCTTTTATTCGACGCTTCATCCACTTAATTTGTCCTTTCTTTCCTCTTTCTCTCCTTTTCATCTTCCTTTCATAATTTTCTCTACTTACTTGAAAAATTAATCTCTGTAATATTTGATTTCGTTGCACCGGATTAATCCGGATAAAAGAATGGTTTAACTTTCATTCAATATCTACACTTGTGACTTCTATTCGTCCTTCGATTTCAGCTCCGGCTACTAGGAATTTTGTTTTTACAGACCACAGAATAAATCTGAAAGATAATAAGAATCTCTTACAGACAGAATAAGACTATTATATGGATGAAGGCATAGGAATAACTTTACTAGAGAATCAAGTAGAACAATATTGTCACCGTGTCAGCATTAGGGTTGGCATTATAAGTATCTGCATAAATGACACTGTGTTGATTGCCGACCCAGAAAGTAACTGAAAGACAAGGTAGAAAACGAAGACAAGAAGAAAGGACTATTAAATCTGATAAGAGAAAAGGAATATTTTTCATCAAAAAAGATAGCCAAAGCTGTAAGTTACATATTGGTGACGTTAAATATTTGGAATCGTCAAAACTATGGCTGGATGTTTTTGGTTTCTAAAAGCTGAATGTTTGAGAAAAATATAAACATGTGCTGTCATGTAGAAGAGGATTATCTCGCTTTTAAAAAGGAAAAAAAATAATTGATGTTTTAAAGGGCTCTTGAGAGTCGCGTGAAAACCCGTTGGTGAGGATAGTCGTTGTATACTTGGCTCAACATTGTGACGGACGCGAGATTCAGTGGCAGCTTGGCGGACCACGAAAAACAGTGCAATTCTCATGCCTCTTAAAAAGGTACCTAAAACTGGTTGTCCCTCCTGATAACGTTATAAGTAAGACATTCTATTCTCCTCTTTCATATATTGTTTGCGTTTTTATGTTTTGGATTTCTCTGTGTGAATATACTTTTATTTTACACACACACACACACACACACACACACACACACACACACACATATATATATATATATATATATATGTGTGTGTGTGTGTGTGTGTGTGCGCACATCGATATAATAAATGCGAATGTCAGTGTGTCAGTGTGTCACTGTGTCACTGTGCCACACTTTTTCAATTTTACTCCTAGAGGCCGTAGCTCAATATATTATACCATTTTGGAATCAGACAGAACAAATTATAACCATTCTGGACCGGATCCGAGACCGCAATCCTGAAATTTTGGATTTCCAAGATTTCATTACTGCGATTGTTTTCCGGATTCCGCCATCTTGGCTTCGACTGATAAAAATAATTAAAGGGGCACAACTCTCTACCTTTCAATAGCTCATGTTCAAATGAAAAAAATACTTTTCACATATTACAGTGTTTCAACATAAAATTTTTCGTGTTTTCTCCCATGTCAAGATCACTATAAGCATTGTACAGCATGACCGAAAAGAAGAAAGCAAAAAGTACAGGAGCCATGACACAACCCTGTTTTGTGCCATTTGATACGTCAAAGGTTTCTGAGAAATCTCCATTAGAGAAAACAGATGCTTTCATTCCTTCGTGAAACGAGATGATGACATTTAGCATATTTTCAGTTATGCCAAGTTTTTTTGAGTACTTTCCAGAATCAAAATCGCTGACTCGAGCAAGCATTAATCGTGATCCTTTTTTTGCTGATGACGCGGCGATCGTGGCCACCTCAATCGAAGAAGATCAAATACTCGTCAATCGTTTTTCCGTCGCTTGCAACACATTCGGATTAACTATAAGCATAAAAGAAAACTGAAGATGTCCAAAGCCTACACCTAAGAAGGTCAAGGGTGTAAAACAATAACCAGCAGCCCATACGTTTCCATTCGTTCCCATTACTGTTGGCAGCAACAATCTGAAGTATGTGAAATTATTCTCGTACTTAAGAAGCAAAGTCAATTCAAGTGCCTCTTTGGAAGACAAAATAGTTAACCGAATATCAAAGGCAACCAATGCCGTTGGGAAACTTAAGCATCGTCTATGGGATATTCATGGGATTTTCACTGAAAACGAAATCAATTTCTATCGAGCAGTCATTCTCACCACACTTATTTATGGGTCAGAATCGTGGACACCATACAGGACGCACATGAAATTAAAATAATGCTTTTGATAAACGTTGGCTTCGTTTAATATGCGGTTATACACGTCAGGACGAAATCTCTAACACTGATCTTTTCATCAAATATGGCGCCGGTGGTATTGAATCCTTTCTGATGCAATCACAGTTCAGATGGGCTGGTCATGTCATCAGAATTAGTGATGATCGGATGCCGAAAATCCTCATGTATGGCCAACTTTTTCATGGTAAGCGTAACGTAGGCCGTCCTGCTAAGTCTGAGTTAAAGCCAGACGTAAACCCAGTTTTTAAGAAAAAGCGTAACGTTCCATTTGCTTCGTTAAATCAAATTGACGAAGAATTGAATCGTCTTGAGGAAATGAGAGTTCTGGCAAAGGTTGAATATAGCGAATGGTCATCTCGCACAGTTTACATTATCAAGAAAAAGAAAAGAACGAGAAAAGTAAAACCTTCTCCTCGCGTATAAACTTTTGAGTTACCTGAAAAACGCAATAATCACTGGATTTGCCATCCAATTTCTTTTTCATTATTTTCTTATATTGAATAGAGGAGACTACTGCTAACACGTGAAATACGTGTCGAAATCTAAAGAAAAAAATGTGATGTAATTCCTACATATAGCTTTTTTGAAAGTGGTTGTTCCTGATTTATTTTAATTTTATTTTGGTTGAATAAAATAATGCGTGGAATGATAAAAAAGAGACACCATGAGGAGACAAGCTGAAAAGAGGGTATAGTGGCATCCTCCCTCTAATGAGGCTATTGTGGAATCTTCCACTTACTATAAAGTTAGTTGGAAAAGTAACACTAATGGGAACGGTGGTATAAACCGTTTATTGCCGTCAAACTCCCCGCCTTGGCGGAGAGGAACCCGGACGAGATTTGCTGAAGGACAAAGTTTCTGCCGTGGAGATAGACAGGCCCTGAACCCGTTTATACGACCCACGTGGGGGGGGGGGCGTTAAATATAACGGTGATATAGACCGTTCGTTACTGTTAAACTCTCTGCCTCGGCAGAGAGGAACCCGGCGAGGCTTTGCCAAAGGGCAAAGTTTCGTCGGCGGAGGTAGACAGGCACTGTACCCGTTTATGCGGGTTCAAAGGGAATATTTTTGGCCGAGACTACGGGCTTGGAGAAACCACGATAAACTCGGCCCTGTGCCACACACGACCCACGTGGTGGTAGTGGGGGGCGTTAAATATAACGGTGATATAGACTGAACGCTGGTCAACCGACACGCATTCCCAAGTCGTGTAATTGGTTAAGGAATAATAAAACAAGAGGTCGCAGATATTTAGTGTATCAAACAGTAAATACCAAAAAAAAAAAAATGGCACTTTTGTTACACCGTTAAATTTGCATTTGTATACATAAAGATTTTTTCAAAAATTCAAATCTTTATGTATACAAATTCAAACTCAACGGCGTAACAAAAGTGCCAAAAATTTCTGTCGTTGAAATAGACCTGACGATATTGAACGGATGTCATCATTCGTTTGAAAAAAGGCAGCCCGGCCCTACATTGACTTAACCTCTTTTCTAAACTAACTAATATCTTGATACAATAGTTGCCAGTGAAAATGAATACCCTTCCGCCCCTTATTAAAATGATTGGTTTTCTCCATATCCATAGAAATTAATATTACGAATGTATATGATTATAAAGATCCGTAAATTTCAAAATTAGTTATTCCAAAATTCGTTTGAAGATGAAACAGAACAAGGTACTTCAATTTAATTTCTATAATTAAATTGGTAGTATTTAGCTTCTGTTTTTGAAACATGAGTACTCTTATGTAGCGGTGGAATGATGTTTTTTAAAAATTATAATATAGGCTTGTGTATCGAGCACTTTTTTTTCAAAAAAAAAATACTAAAGAACTTCAGATTATTGACATAACGGTTATTTCCTATTTTCTATATATTTGCACACACACACACACACACACACACACACACACACACACACACACACACACACATACATATATATATATATATATATATATATATATATATATATATATATAATGAAAACAGTGAACTTTAAGGGCACACTGGTTATAATTTATTTCCCCAGGAAATTGTGGGGTGGGGGAAGAAATTCCCTGGGAAATAAATTACAACCAATGAACCATTAAAGTTGTCTGATTTCATTGAATTAATCGCTGTGATTTAACATCGAGCTCTGGATTTCATCCTCCTTGGGATTATCCATACGGATTACCAATTTTTTTTATATATATATATATATATATATATATATATATATATATATATATATATATATATATATATATATATGTGTGTGTGTGTGTGTGTGTGTGTGAATAAAATTACAAGAAAAAGCTATAGCCGACGCGTTTCGTCCTCTGAAGGACTTTGTGAAGGCAAATGTTTAATCTGATTTTTGACATTCTTCACTTACATTCTCAATGAATCCAATATAACTTCTGAATAAATCTTTTTCAGAAATATTTTCTATTCTCTGAGAGGGGAGAATCGAAATCTGACTGAATCTAATCTGATATGTCAAACCTGGGAGAAAAATTCATTTGCTGACAAATCTGTTTTTCTGCTATTTTCGCTTTAGATCTAAGGGAACCAAAGTCTTTAAATTTTATCCTGTCTTACACGTATTCATATTCTCGTTTAGATTGCAGACAAAAAAAATAAAAAAAATCTACGATAACACTCTAGTTATCGTAGTAGATTTTTCCCTCAAGAGTTGGTGAATAATATGATTTAAATTTCACACACCTTGATTATCTACGCATTGATCATTTAGAAAAAAGGTGGAGCCAACATCCAATCAAAATAATTCCTCAATCTGTTTTTTTTTACTGCATATAGGAAGGAGGACGATGAGACTAGAATTTTCTTTATTTTTTTCTTCCTCCGTTCATCCCGTTTTCCTTCTTCTCCACAAAATATAAGAAAGTTGACGTTACTTTTTTTCATTGGTATCGTCTGCAGTTTCAGTTAATAAATTTTCGAAGATAAAAATGTATTTGTAACTAAAACATATAAATAAATACACATTAAAATTTATAGGTAAATTTTACATGCTAATTTTATTAAAATATTAGTAAGTAAAATCGATTTCTTATAATTTTGCACAGATCTTTTATATTTTGTAAAATTACAGATGTACCCAAGATTCATTTTCGTTTTCTCTCTGATAAAGGATGCAATGATGTAATATATGCCATTAAATAACTCCACGAAATTGCTTACGTCTTTATTGAACTCTTACCCAAAGAATAAATTGTTCAAAATGAAACCATTTATAGGAGAATGGAGTCAGAAGTGCCAAACTAGAAGGGGAAAATGATTATGCCCAGGCCCCATATTGGACATACTACCAAAACCCATTCGTATGTCCTAAAAAAGAAGTTCCTGTATGAGTGTCATGCCAAGAGCCATTAATCATAAAACACATACTGACAAATTGTAGCAATTTTAATTCCATCCGCTTAAAATACTAACAAACAAGAGACTGTAATAAAACATTTTCAAAATACTGATTCATTTTACATTTTTCCTAAGAGAAATTAAACTGATTTAAAAAATATATAATGGAAGCAAATAATAAACTTAACAAAAGCAGTCTTACTATTTGTCGGAAATAATGAAGAATAAACCTACTTGAGTGAATCGGCGACGTCGACCGCGGAGTGCTAAGGCGCGAACGCCACATTTTCCTTCGTTTTAGTAACCTCCCATCTGGATTGATGGAACAGAGGTATATTATGAAAAACCCTTCACCTCATACTCGAGAGGCTTTTTGGCCGACAGTAAAACAGGTTGTTATTATTGTTTCTGTCTGTTATTACTGTGATTACCTGACGCAAAGGAAGGACGTTTTCTTTTGCAAGCCGATCATTCACCAACTCATAGTCGAGATAAATTTTAGAATGTTCCGATATTGGGGTCCCCACTCTATCTTATGAAATTGTGGTTTGATACCTTCCTCCTATCAGGTGTAGACATTCATCGGTTTCTAATGGATGTGGCGATAAAATCCTCCTTGATTTGGTCATATACTGCTGCAAGGTATACATAAATATTTTTTTAAATATGTCGAAAATGAATTCAACTGAAAAAAAAAAACTAAAAAAACAGCGTGACTGTTTAAATGCAATACTTTATTTAAAAAAAAATCGCATTAAATGAACCTCTGGGTAGATATACGGTAAAACAAACCAAACGAAACTAGTTTAATAGGAAATTGCATACTTGTTATGTATACCTGGCAGCAGTGTACGACCAAATCAAGGAGGATTTGATCATCACATCCATTAGAAAACGATGAATGTCTAAACCTGGTCGGAGAAAGATATCAATCCAAAATATCATATGATAGCGGTGGAAACTCCAATATCAGAATATTCCAAACCTCATCTGGACTTTGACAAGAAGTAGATGAGATATCAAATCTATTTAATCTCTTTTTAGACCTTACAATGTCCATATACAAGCCCAGAAATGGGCAGTGATTCCCTTATATTTGCATAGGGCTTATCGGTTAAAAGGAACAGTTGATTTACTCGCGCCAAGAAGATTAATGGCGGATGATAATGAAGAAGAAACATACAGGTAATTTTAACAAAACAAGATGAGAAATATATTCATGAGTTTACACGCTTGAAGTTGTGTCAGTAGCCTGATTCAGGAAAATAAATTAGTAATTTTTAAAATCCTTAGTTTTAACGTATTGTCCCGAAGAGGAAATGTTCATATAACAGATTAAATAATCTAATATAAAATAACACTCAAAAATTTTGTTATTCACACAAGGGATATATAATTTGCATATCTCCAAAAGTAGATTAAGAGGGATAGTTTGAAATACTTGGATTGTTGAAAGAAAATTCTTTGAAGTTCCGCGTGTTTGGTTAAAAGCCGATAACATGATTGCCGAATAATATTTCACTGGCAAGAACTTGAACACTGGTCGCTGATCGCGAGGAGCGGAATCGAAACCTTTCACTACTTCAAATTATCTTCTCTTATTGTTATAGTGGAACACACCTATTCTATAGTTAATAGACTCTCTCACCTATAATAAGTAGAAGTAGTAATAGTAACAAGTCAGTCAGCGAGTTGGTCAGTCAGTCGATGTCGGACGACCGTTAGTCGGATACTAAAAGTGTCAGCGACCACCACTAGATTTCTCTGCGTCATTACCTATTATATGAAGTTCCTAACGTTTTGTACGTCGAACCTATTTTAGGACCGACTTAGTGAAATACAAGCCTCCACTGTGAAACTACTCTCCAACACTTATTAATTTAATAAGGCTGTGCGAATTGCCGCCATTTTTCAGACATTTTAATATTTTTTTCCTTTCTATTATGCCCCTTCTTCCTTCTTATCCTTCATTTTATATCAAACAGAATTTCGCTATTTTCTCTTCTTTCTTTTCTTGACCCAACGGATAATTTCTGGGGAGGTAAGCTTTTAATTGTTCCAAAACAATTTCACATAGAATCATTGAATTTATTTCCGAATTCTAATCTCACCGGTCAGTCTCTACAAGGTTTTCATTCGTCCAAAACAATTTCACATAGCCTCAAGGACATTTTTGATTTAACCTCAAGGACACATGGCACAGTGGATAAAGGCGTTGGTTAGATCCAGTGACAGGACCCAAAGAGTGTGAGTTCAATACCTGGTTAAGGCAGTGGAGAACTTTCAGAGGGGAAGTAACAGGAGATAACTGACATCCATTAAAAAATATTCCTAGCCGTCATCCATTATTACACCACCTGCACATCCAAGTTTACAGACCGTGGTATTCCAACGCCATTACACATCTAGATACTGACCAGGCTCAACGTTGCTTAACTTCGGTGATCGTACGGAAACCGGTGTTTCAACGCTATATAGCCGTAAGCCAATTACAGAAATAGATGGAAAATTCGATGTCAAAATCGAAATTATTTTTATTAGAACATTTCGCTGTAGCCGTACGTAGAAATAAACGAAATTATTTTCTCTGAAAAATATAAGAAGCTGATATTAAAATCGCAATATTTTCATGCACTAAATTCGTGTCTTCCTCGAAATAGTTCAACTGACAACACACGCACTCACACACACATACATATATATATATATATATATGTATAATACATAACTATATAGAAGCATATATATGTATAGTTATGCTTACCTTATATTTGATCGATATATATGCATAAGAAATTATATTATGTATCTTATATTAAAATAGAAATATATTCGTGTAAAAAATTTTATGTAGATAAACGATGAAAAGTGTTAATCTTCTGCTTTTGCAAGGAAAAACGATTTTTGAATTAAGGAAAAAAAAAACATGGGGAGACACAGCCTGGGGGAAAATCACTGACAACAACTACAATGGTACGTTTAGAATCGTGTAAAATCTTAAGAAATTTTCTCGTTTCAAACAGGAAATTCTTCAGAAATCTTAAATATTGTTCTATATGAAATATCGAACACTGTAATGGAAGCGATTTTGCAATTATATCCGCCTGCGGTCTGGAAAGGTTTATATTTCGTCCTGGGTAGGACGATAAACTGCATCAGGCAGTATGGCCGGTGATTTGGAGACTGGAGGTTTTGAGGAGTGTTCCCAGGCTCATCGTAACCTGGAGTGGTAACATCTTTCAGGGCCCTAGCTATTAGTGAACCCCTAAACAAAAATCAACAGCACATTTTTAAAATAAAATGACGAACAATACATTTTTTATAGCCAAATGACAATCAATGCAACAATAAAAATATATAAAAATACATTTTTATAAAAGTAAAATTACCAACAATACATTTTATGATCGACAAATTTTATATCTAAAAAAAATCATACCTTTATTTGAATGTAGACAGTTATGTACAAATATCTGAGTTGAAAGCATAAACTTGCGTGAAAAATATTTATATCTCGGCATTAAAAAACCAATGAAGGTGTTGATATGCTACTAAACAAAATTAATCAAAAATCGGTTTTTATTGTTTTTTTTATATCGGTTTTTATTCGTGTGTATCAAAATCGTTTTCGTTTTTTACCAGTCAAAGGAATGAATGAGGCCAAACGGAGATGTGTATCAAAAGTCTGTTCGAATTGCCGCCATTTTTCAGACATTTTAATATTCTTTTCCTTTCTTTCTTTCACATTTCTAGAGTAATTATGCTCCTTCCTCCTTATCCTCTATCACACACACTATCTCACTCTCTCTGTCTCCCTCTCTTTGGAGTCTCTACTCATACTGAGAAAAAGGAACAACACTTATTATTATTATTACTATTATTAATAATAATAATAATAATAATAATAGTAATAATAATATTTCCTTTGATTTCTGTTATATATACATTTCATTCCCAGTCCTAAGCAGAAGCCTAAGTTCAGAAGTGGCTTCATAATATTTTCCACTGAACCATTTTGTAAAAACAAAAACAAAAAACAAACAAAACAAAAAAAACCTTAGATCACACCCATTTTGCATCAATAAAGCTCTTCGTAATGTCTGAGCTGTACTTGTGAATACAATTTTTTGTATTCCTTCAAGGCATGGGCTATCATGAAACCTTACAATAAATTTATCAAAACCTTTTCCAATCACTCCGAGGACTCCAACTACAACAGGGACTGTTGATGTTCCCATGTGCCACATTTTTGAGATTTCGATTTCAAGGTCCTTGTATTTTGACAGCTTTTTGAATATTTTCAAAATTACATTGCAGTCTGCACGGACTGCTATATCAATACGGAGGCACTTTATTTGTTCGTGGTCTCTAATAACAATGTCTGGGCGGTTGGCTTTGATTGTTCTGTCAGTGTGTATTGTGTTGTCTAATAGAATTGTTACAGGTCCTATCTCCGTAACCGGGTCTGGTACAGCTTCTTTCAGTTTCCTTCCCGTAGAAGTTGCAGATTTTCCAGTGCAGATATTGGCCCACTCTCTCATGCCGGGTTTTATATTCAGTGGGTGCCAATATCGTGCAACCTGATATTATTATTATTATTATTATTATTATTATTATTATTATTATTATTTCTTTTTGTTTTCTGTTCAATACAATCATTTATTCGGTCATTATTTCTGAATTATTTTAAGGCAAGCTGGTTAATATATGCATTGTGATGTTAAAGGATATTTAATATGTACAGTGTTTATATTTTCTTTATATTGATAAAACTGTCCTGAGGAAATGAACAGCTCCGCAAAGGGAAATATTTTGAATCACTTGTAAACAGAGGTTGCCAGGATTTTTTTTACAAGCTCCTTCCTGTACATTTTTATATCCTATGTAGGGCTCCAATAATTATAACTATCACAATAATTTTCTCATATTCTTTAACAGATACAATATAACTTACATTATTCTGACTGTCATAGGGAAATAACTAAGACATCCGCAAGATGCATGGCACGAGGAACTAGAACAATCTACCCCGATGGACGAAATAAAGGGTTCGGTTCGAAATTCCAGTCGTCTGAAGAAGGCCGGAGTGTAGAACGGCCGAAACGTTTTTGAATATGTCAAGGAAGATGAGGATAACAGTTCGAATAATGTAAATAATCATAATACCTCATCACATGCATATAGACACAGATACATTATCATATGAAGTCATTTTTGTTTGTTTTTTTTTCTTTATTCATTGTTCCGTTAGCTTTTATGTCTGTCGACATGATTGATAAAGAAGCCATTATTATTAGTATTGTATCTTGCCTTCTATTTGATAGAGTCCTTAACATGGTCATTTCTTCAGGCTGAATGTAAAGTAATGACATTAATATATACATTCTGTTTGCACAATGTTGTTAAGTTATACTTAACATGTACAATGTTTATATTTTCTTTGCATCACTAAGACTCTCCTGACCATTTCCCAAAATCGCAGTGTTTTAAATCTATTGCATATAAAGACTACCTGGTGTGTTACTAACTTTCTTGTTAGTACCTTCTTTTCACCGTAAACAGTACTGCTATTATTTTAGGTATAAAAATAATTATAAGGTGTTATGGACTTTTCAGTTTAACTTTGATGTTACTTCTGTATTTTGTCACGTGCTGTAACAAATATATTTTATCTGATAGAACCGCTTTATCTATGAGAAATGTTTGTTTATATTTGTCCGACTGGGAATTAGGTACGCGATGTTTATACATAAAATGATACCAGAAAAAGCAATGCAAATACACAAGTATGTTTACCTATGCTTTCTAGATTATTGATAAAGTACGTTTCAGAGAACTGTTTGAACTGCTAGCTAAGCTTGATATATTTAGGAAGGATATTAGAATAATCCGGGACTTACACTGGGAGAAAACTGGCTGCATACAGACAGAAAATCAATTCAATACATATACAAAAATAGAAAGGCATGTAAGACAATGATATATCTTCGCACCCGACTTATTCACCCTATACAGTGAGGTGATTCTAAAAGAGGTAGAAATCCTACCAGGATTTGTTATTGGAGCCAAAACCTTAACAACATCAAATATGCAGATGACACAGTGTTGATAGCAAACACAGAAAGGAAATTATAAGACCTTTGCATAGCTGGTAGTAAAGGATAAGTGAAAGCAGTGCGTGACATACCGGACGAGCGGGTGGATGACAGAACAAGGTCTGGGGGAGGAAGCAGAGAGATTGAACTTGCTGAGTGCTGCAAGGGATAGAAGGAGGTGGAGAGCCATGATCGCCTACGTTTTGAAAGGACATGGCTCATAAAAAGGAAGTCACTGAAATTTTTATGGAATATATTGAGGAAAGAGGGCTTGGAAAATTTGCTACTCACAGGGCTAGGCTAAAGGCAAGAGGAACATTGGAAATCAATAAGTAAACTACATAACGATGTATTTGGAGAGATAACAAAAGATAAAACTCATTAAAAGTTACAAATGAGAGGAATTTAGTGGAGAGTTAAGTTTCATTATAAAATTAAAATAGAAAAAAAACTGTGACATGATTTTCTCTAGTAATAATAATAATAATAATTCAACTAAAAAAGAAAATCTTTCTGATGCTGATGGATATTATTTTGAAATGCAAGGGGAAATCATATTGTCAGTTCGCTGCCGTATACAAAGCTAATTAACAAAGATGACTCTTTGTAAATCACTCTATGTAAAAAGCGGACATTACATTCATTTACAGGCTGTTTGGGGTAAATATATGTCACATAAAGAATAATTTCTATACTAATTTAATTCTTGGTGAATATATTGCTCAAGGAATCTATTCCTTTTGGGGTGAATAAACTGCATGATGATGAATTTCCAACCTAAAATTTATTTTTTGTTTTACATCTAATGGTAAATCTGCACGGTTCGATGAGGTCATCTTGAGAGATGATTTAACAAATGACATACAATCTGTTGTTAACTGGAGCAAGGAATGACTTGTTAATTTTAACAGCTTCAAAACGAAACTACCTTCTATTAATCCCTTGAGGGGATCCTTTTTGTCTGCCATCAGCACGGCTGATACTAGCCTTCAGAATTTTGATTCATTGTGGCTTCTTCGACTAACGTTTTCCGCTCACATGAAGTGGAAAGTTTATATATATTCGCGCTAGACAATGTTTATCACCAGAATCTCTCTTACATATTTATAAGTCTATCCTTCTTTCAGGCTTTGAATATTGCTGCCACATATGGTCTGGTACGCTTTCTATATATTTAGAGGTCCTTGATAAAATCCAAAGAAAGATCTGCAATGTCATTTTTCTTGATCTTGCATTTCAGCTTCACTCACTTTCTCACCAACAAATTTGAAATGGTTAGATCTATCCGTAAGTTCTACGCTAACAATTTTTTCTATCGCACTTCTTGTGTAACTCTCTTCCTTTGCAGTCAAGATTGATCTTCAAAATGAATGACCGAATAACCGCTG